CCATCCCTGCTTTCTGTCCCTGCCTTGCCTTTTTCCCCCTGGTCCCCTCCCTTCATATACAAAGTCACACCAGGAGACGAGAAATGAAAGCCAGAAGCTGCCATCCCTGCGTCAACATGTGGGCATTATGCAAGTAAAAAGAAGGAAAAGAGGAAACTTCTAAGTGCCAGTAAAAGAACTCTTTGAACAAGGGAGTGGCTGGACCAAAAGTCCAACTAGGTGTGGCTGGTTTGTCAGCCTTGGCTGACCTGTAGTAGCCTGTGATGTCTGACTCAGAAAATGACATAACACACTGTGCTTGTTTGCCCATGATGAATGGGAAAATTTAGCGTGGCTGCAGCCCTAAAGGTTAATGAAGAAAGCTTGTGACAAGATGATTACAGGTTTAATTTAAGAAGGGGTGAGGGACATACAGTATGGGTGGAGCTCATTCCTTATTTGTGGCATGGGGAACACTCAAAGCTGTACACTAGTTAAGGAAGATACATTAAAGTAAGAGCCATGCCAAAATAGAAATAAGCCTCATTTGTGATAGTTTCTGTTTTATGCTACACAAGGAGTGTTTACATACTGATGTCATGACCAGCAGCACCAGCAATACCTGAAAATGAAACTAACACTCCCACCGCCTGCTGTCGATTGATTCGTCAGCACTGCCAGATGTGTAAGTTAGACTACCACATCATTACGTTCTATATTGTTGTTTTTAATGAAGTATTTTTTTCATATTTTGCCCTGAGTCATCCAAACGCCTGTATTCAAGCTGTAAATTCCTAAAATAAATGTAAAAAAAAGTAAACTTGCGCTTGTATGTTAAATCTACGGCCTGTGTACATAATGGTAAATTTTAGGCTTTAAAACTAGTGGGGCTACAGCCTTCTTTCACACACGACTACCGCAGCACTAAACACAAGATAGCGTTGATGGAAATGTGCACCGAAATCTCAGCATTGTCTCAAATGTTGAGACAGTCCTGTAAACATAAGTCAAAAACAGAACACGAATAAGAAGTGGCATGTGTCACATGAAAGCAAGCACATCAAGGGGACGGACTACTTGGTTGGTTGGGGGTGGGGGGGCGGGGGGGTTATATGAGATATTTAACAGGCTGGAGAGAGAGCAGAGAAGGAATGATGGATGGGTACAATAATAATGGAGGAAAGGAGCCAGCTATTAGATTGTGGAGGGGGGGCTGGCCGAAACAACAGCTCCCATGTTATTAGTCAAGCACGAGCAACAGCTTGTAAGCAGGGAAGAAACACACACACACACACACACACACACACACACACACACACACACACACACACACACACACACACACACAC